ACTCAAGGAAATGACCCAAAATGACTGGTTCCATTGACTTTAAACATTAAAAGTAAAGTAGGTTTTTCCTTCTCCTGTAAAGTTAGCGTTTCAGAGATACGAGATTTTCTTCCGACAACAGCGATACTTATATGTGTGTGTGTGTGTGTGTGTGTGTAAGTATATATACTTCAGGTTTATTTACTGTACATAATTAGTAATACCAATAACTATATTTAACAACTGAAGAAAATGCAGTACTGAACAATACATACATAATCCTGTGGTGTGAACATGTAAGCACACAGCAGCTTCTCTGGCTTGGCAAAAATGGTGCTGAATGTTGTTTCACTTCCAAATCTCTCAAGTCATTTGTCTCATACATATGTCCCATTCACTTGCGCTTACATCTCAGAGTCTGCTGGAGTTTAGTAAAAATTAGTCATTCACACTAATGCTAGCAGTGGCTGAGCTGCGGATTTCTTGACTTGGTTGAAGCAAAAGGCCATGAGACCACAGTGCTGTGGTGGACTGCAGTCGTGGCTAGTGGGCACACAGGCTGGGCTAGCGGGCTGATATGCTACAGGCTAAACCAAGCCTACAGGCTATCATTACCCCAAGAAACCAGCGGTATGTCTCTCCAAACGTTCACTCTCTCAATAACAGCCTGGACTCAGCTTTCCTCAGACTGTAACTGAATACGCAGTGGGAGATGAGGGATTACTGAAAGAAGCCTGGCTCAGCTGTTGAGGTAAAGGTCTCCTGCTGATGTGTTTTACACTGTATAGACACTACGTTATCTGGTGTATTTGGGTCCACCTTGCTGGTGTATGCAGAGAAAATACTGGCAGAATTTGGCCATGTAACTATTGATGTAATGTGATGTAACATTCGATGGGAAGCACAAGCACTAAGTCAACTAATTGATAAAAAAAAAAAAGATTTGTTGCCATCCTCTGGCCCAGAGGTCTTCAAATCCAGACCTTTTAATCTAGTTATCACTGTGTTTTGCAGTCACTGGTAAGTATGACACTAGCTGGCCAACTAGTTACATCAACAGGTTATTTAAGCAGTGATTACAAAATATATGACTGGAAAGTGAAAAGACCTCTGCTTTAGCCCCTCATCAATCCGTTTCTGACCACAGAACTGCTCTTGGTTGGGGTTTCCAGGTGTTGGTCCACTCTCAACCTAGCAATGACACAGAGGCGTTGAAAACCTGAAGTGGTGCCATGCTCGATTCACTTGTACTACCATCACACATATTATCATGCATTTGCCAAATCAGTGTCTGATCAACAGTGGTGCTGTGATCAGAAACTGACTAATGATAGAGGATACTGAGTGACTGACAAATTGTGCATGACAGAAGGTGGGCTGCAGTCTGTATAAGTACCTTTAAAGTAAGTGAACCTTCCAAAGTGACCAGTGAGTGAAAAGCTAGTTGTTTCTGATAAAGTGGACAGTAAGCTTCACATCTTTATCCTTAATGAATCTACTCTGTAGTTATAGTTGCTGCTATATATATTCCTCCAAGCGTTTATCAATTGATGTGGTTTTTTTTAGCTCTGCCCCTTCCCTTGTTAAGAAATTATGTTTATAGAAAAGGCTAAGAACAAGATCCCATTACCATCTCAGCACAGCCATGCAGCTCTGACCTGTCTTCTCTATGAATATTTAATGGCTTAGACACCTCCACTAATGAGAACATGAGAAGCCCAGTGGTATTCTGGGTGTTGTAGGGCAAATTAGGAATGGGTTTTAAGTTCACAGTTTCTGATTTAGCTGACACTTTTTTGTCCAAAAGTATCTTATGTTTGCCTAATGCAGGAACAGCACCCCTTGCAGCATATTTTTAACAGCACAACATTGATCACCTGTAAATCAAACCCATGACATTTTGACTTTGCTGACAACTCCTCAACCAGTACCAGTGAGATAGTGGTGAATATTGTGAGACTTATGCAAAGTGAGTGTGGACATATAATCAAGTTGTAATCAATTATACCTATGGCTTAAGCTCTATTGATTGGTTGTCCCTGCAAGATCCATGGATCAACCATAAGCCAGTGACTAGGGGGAAGGAAAGTAACTTTCCTTCTATTGGTCACATCAGCATTAAGGTCAGACTGTCATACTGTTTTCTTATCAGTGCTGTTGTTTGAAAACACCAGCTGCCCTTTAGATTGTTTATTGTATGAGGCTTGTAGAAGCATTTTATGAGCAATAGAAATGGTCCATAATTATTTGGAATTAAATCATATGTCATACATCATTAATGTATGTTCAAGTTTAGGACGTTTTTATCTTTTATTTAGTTACTGTTTTGAAGATACAAGGATGTGAAATGATGACGGCAGTATATTGCAGTTATAACTGGTGTTTGGTGTTACTAATGATAATAATAGTTATGTATTTTTAAATGAGTTTCAGTTAAAATTTTATTTATTGTCTATATATAAGGTTTCTATATAATGTTTATATAATGTATATGAAAGCAATAGATTGCTTGAGAGATTTTATCACAGGTATGGGGTAATATTAGGCATAACACAAAACTTTCATAAAATGGCACCAAGCTTGTATAAAATGGTGATGACATAAATTTCTAATAGTTTGTTCAGAGTAGGTTATTGTTGCCAAGCAGCCATGGACTGCTAAACCAGGACAAGAACTTAGTCATCCATCACTGTGTATTGCAGTCATTTCATTTACTTTTTGAATTTTTGTCATATAATTATGAACATGTTACAGTATGGCTGTGCTTAACACCAAAACGCCACATTTTAAGTAGCTTTCTGTTAGTGGACTACCACCACAAGTATAATGCTGATATCTGCCTTCACCTGTGTGGGATTTCATGTGTTCTGTTAGCATCAAGCTAACAGTGCCACACTTTTGCACTTATGGCAGATCTACCAACGACGCGAATGTTTGAAGCTTGTAAGTAGGGGTGTAACAGTACGTGTATTCGTCCCGAACCATCACGGTATGGACGTTACAGTTGTTATGCAGTCGTATCAAGTATCAAGAATTTGCGGTATGTGTGAAGCTTGATGAACATAGTACAGAACCAAACTTCACAAGCGTGAGTTCCACCTGGAAGCTGTTGATAGCAAGTTAGCAGCGGTCGTCCGTGGAGGACCCTTTCTCTGCAGCTAGTGCCAAATGATTCAGTCTATCGAGGGTTCATAACTGCAGCAGAGCTGAAACTCCTGACTTCCAATCAGCTGTGAGGCTGAGTTTAATGTGTTTGAACAGAGAGTGAGAGTTGAGGAAGGTAGCTATTGAGGTAAATAAAAAGAGAGGGGATTTAAAAAAACATAAGCTGAAATTAGATGAATGAAACAAGACTCATCCCTAACCACAGCCTGCAGTATTCTTGCCCCTATAAAGAGTTTCAGCACAAAGCCTTTTGTCTGCTGCTAACTTCAAAATCACAACTGAAGTTGAACTATTGCTGTACAGATTAGTTAATGTTAGTGGCTTTTCCCGTTGACTGCAAATGACCCACACTACAGGCTGTAGCAACTACCTCAGGGTTAGGGTTATTAGACGGAACAAATTGTGACTCGACCTACTGTGTATTCAAAATCAATGAAAAGGAATCTATCCTTATGCATTTGGGTGTTTTGGTGGCTTTTTTCCGTTGTATCATACTCAGAACTGTGATGTGAAAACCGCCACTTCTGCGACCGTTACACCCCTACTTAAAAGACATTCAAGTAAGATATTTTTACTTTATGTTGTAGCGTAGGGGGTTCACAGAAGAAGTGCAGACACCTCAAAGTTTGTGCCAATAGCGCAGCTTTGTTTGGAATTGACTCAGCAATCAAAGTACAAGAAAGGAAAATCGCTCTTATTTCCAGAGGGAGGAAAGATGCTTTTGTAAATCTCTAGCATGGCCATATCTGCTACAGCTTCCCGCCAGGGGTTGTGAATGAGGATCCAAACCTGGATGATGGTAACTAATGCTCCCAAACACAGTACCTATCTGAACTGCTCCAGTATTCACATAACCTGTAAGCATTAACATCACATACTTGAAAATGCAAATGAAAACCTTTACTTACTGTTTTTAGAGCTAAATACAGCCCGGCTAAGCATAAAGCATCATAGGAACCAGAGCATGCTTGGACAGTATGTTGTAGTTTCAAGAAAAAAAAAAATCATTTCAAAGCTTAACCCTGAATAATAACTCAGGACACTGTTGGCTATCAGCCAGGTTGATCAGCCTTTTTCTAATGCAGGGGTGCTCAATCCTGGTCTTGGAGATCTACCACCCTGGAGAGTTCAGATCCAAGACACCTGGCTCTGATATGTTCCTGAAGGCCTTCATTATCTGAATCAAGTGTGTTAGATTAGGGGTGGAGCTAAACTCTCAGGGTAGTAGATCCCCAGGACCAGGTTTGGGCACCCCTGTTCCAATGGATAAGAAAATAAGTCTAAACAAACTGGGTTCTTGTGTAGGGTATGTTGAGGACCATTTCGGCCTTTTAATTTCATATACGTGCTGATGCCCTTGTCCCTAAGTTGCGTTGGCAGTAACAGAGTACATTAAGAGTAGCTTTTGTCATTATGTAATAATGTTGAAGTTTAATAGTAGACTCACTTTCAAGCATCATTTTCTTTCAGTGTGATTTAGCATGGATGTAGCAAGTATGCCTTTGACTCCTTAACAACCTCATAATTTAGAGGATCCAGTCACATTCAAGGAAAAATGTGTGCTGGACAAAATGTATCGGGTTTGGAACCTTAAGGTGCGAAAGAGGCAATTTTCAAAAAAAGCCCATTAATTTTTGTCATAAAGAAATCCAGCTTTTGCCCGGAGTTCCTAATATGGACATGACGCCAACTGGAGAATGATGCACGACTTAAGAGGTCGATAGTCTGAAAGGTTATTTCGAATACCCAACACTGGCCTTTGACATAAGTGTTTTAAATTGCTGTTTTTTTTATAATTTCCTTCAGCATGAATGAGTACAGTGAGGCCTCGTTAACCGTATATGTTCCCTCTGCAGTGGGCCGTCTCCTGATCGAATTCAGCTCTCAGATGACCATGGAGAAGGTACAGAGAGAGAATCCTAACGTGACTGAGGGGGGTAAGTACACGCCCCTGGACTGTCGACCCAAGCAGAAGGTGGCCATCATCATCCCATTCCGGCACAGAGACCACCATCTGAAATACTGGCTGCACTATCTACACCCCATCTTGCGGCGGCAGAAGATTGACTATGGCATCTATATCATCAACCAGGTGTGTGTGTGTGTGTGTGAATAAGTGTACATGTCTTTGATGCTGCATTTTTGCGAAGTGTGGCCCTGAAAGCTTCTGACCAAGAGGGATGGCAATATCTTGCCTTACTAAAAGGCTGGAGAGCTCGTTAGCCTGGCAAATGCAAAGCTGTCCAAGGAGCAAAACATCATCAGTCAAAAGTTTGTTACTATTTGTCTTAATCTGGAGTAATAATGTGCTCAGTGAGGCTGGAGGATCTGAGGGCTCTATCAGCAAAGTGCAAACAGGGCCAAAGAGTTTCTGATTGATGTAACTTGCAGAGTGAACTGTATGCTAGACAACATCTCTCTCAGCTTCAAGTGCAGGGCCAGGGCACTGAAAGTAGGCCAGCACTGAGTCAGTGTTTTATTTTATATATATATTTTTATTTTTTTAGCCAGCGCCAGTTCCACTCGCTAACTAGATCTCCCCCAATCACACAATGCTACCAGGCTGGGAGGGTGAATGTCATTTCTGTTATGTTAGCTAAGCGACTGCATTAGCTGGTATCGCGCTGAGAGATGGGGGGCAACCCAGAGAGAGCAAGGCCGATCATGCTGTCTTGGACATCTGGCCATGGAAGGCTGTGGCATCCTCAAAATCACGATCTCCCGGTGATAGGGCCAGCAAGTTAGCAAAGTCTCTAAACTTAACTTCCAGGTGAAGATGAAGAAAGAGCACAAGGATGGAAGCTAGAACGGAATGTTGATGTATCGATTGCTATATACAGAATTTGTCCTTTGCAAAGAGTTTGCTAAGGTGGCATAAACTAGCAAGACAGTTAACACTATTAGTGTGTATGCTAACTTCCAGAGAATGAGTGTTTTTGCTTGATTTTTCACTGTCTGGAAATGATGCATGACACCTCCACAGGTGGTTCAAAGATACATAGCCTTGTTACTATACATCTACGGTGTTGTCTGTGTGAGTGTGTGAGCGCAGAAAAGTGCACAGTATTATTTCATAGTAAGCAGGATAGCTAATTAGCCAAATTAGGTGCTTTAGACTTGTATGTAAAAATGACCAAAAAGACTATTGAATGTTAATTGCAGTTATTGTGACTTTTCCAGCTGTCTCTCAAGCAGGGGGAGGGGAATGAAATAGAACTGCAAATTCCATTGATTCCCCTTTGGGTCAGTTTTTTTTTTCATATGCACCGTGGAAAAACAACCTGGATGTCATTGATGATAATACATGTTATACATATTACATAAATGCAATAAATGCATTGATGAATTTAAAGAAATTGATCTTGTCTATAGTTTTTACCTGTGTACAGATGAGGAAAGGCAGCCGTCATTTAGGAGGGTTTTTATTTACCGCAGCTGCACAGTGTGTAAAAATTTCCTGAAATGAGCATGTTTCCTTTACCGCACCGCACAAATTGTGTTAAGCAGTGTTCGGATGCATTTTATCCATTGGCATGGAATACAGATGATAATTTCCTGTCAGTCTGTAACCCGGCCTCTCTAATGAGGAGCTGTCAGATACCAGCTGGGAGCCACTTTTTAAATACAGGGCATCTTCAGAAAGGTTTTGTTCAAGTGTTGTTTTTGTTTTCAAACATTTCCAAACAAGCATTCTTTAAGGATTCACAAAATGTGATTTTTCCATACCTGTCTGAAGCATTTGATATAACATATAAGATAGGTAATGATACTGTGCTATTTTTGATTTGCTTATTGAGTCACTGAATGTATTCACAGGCATTTAATAATCTGATCATAATCAGATTTCTGCAGTTATCTGATTTTTCACATTGCATTTCACCTCATACCTTTTACCTAGAAAACAGCAAGTTTGTGAAGAGTTAGTTATCTGATACCAGAAGTGATTTTGAAAGTTTTATCTATTAATTCTACATGATTAGAGTGTAAAATGAACTTCAGCTCAGTTAACAGCGCTTTTATGCGGTGCTTTTGGCAGTGATGAGACCCCCTAGTGATGTGGCGCAGCGATTCTCGTCCGGGATCCAGTAACCTTTTGTTGGCTTCAGTGGTCTTTTTATGCTTTCTGTCAGTAATTGATGAGAAAATCCGAACAAAACTATGCAGACTCTTCAGTGACCTCTGGTGGAGTTCAGACCTCTCATGAGTCTTTATGTGAATGTATAACATTTATAGACAAGCTCATTTGCATATCGAAAATCTAATTTTGTGTTAGATTTTTTTTTTTCTTTTAAAATATTAAAAAATTCTGACTCATCCTCAGTATGTGTGTGTGGACTATTTCAGAGCACTGGGCTTGTCTGTGGTAGTTAATGAGCTGTGATTAGTAGTGTCCATCCCTCTAGTGTGTGCCTTGTCTCGTCTTAATCACTCCCTCCTCAGAGCCCTAGTCACTTCTTACACACACACACAGACTCACTCACATCCAATCAGATGGCTCTCAGACTGATACGGATGTCCTCCGTCTCCAACCAGCTGGCCCACTGCGTCATTATCTGTGTGACAGAGAGTGAGAGAGAGGGAGTAAGAGAGATGGAGAGAACCATTAGCATTGTGCTTCCTCTCAGTTTTCCATGCCAGTCATTAGGACGAACCAGCAGAGGAGCCACACTGGTGCACACACTCTGGAGCTGTGAGGCAGGAACCCCATACATCACACCACAGCACTCCATTCAGCTCCAGAGAGCAAAACGGGGCCGTTACAACTGCATCATATTTCCCTTACGATCTGAAGTTTTTCTTCTTGAAAAATGCTCCTCATTTGCTCCTCAGTAGCTCCTAATCCCATCCCAGCTCAGCACAGCGTTGCACAATATGGACAGAAGAGCATATTGGGATTATATTGCGACATCGCACTGCCTTGCAATATCATACTGGACCCATATAGAGGAAAGCCAGTCGGAATAGTAATTATTTGCATATCTTAAAGGCACAGAAACAAAATAGCCTGCTTCATTCTAAGGGATAAATGAAGGATTTCATTATCGAATGCATTAAAAGCTGCTTTCATGAGTTATTTTTCCATGAAATACGTTGAGTGGAGTGGGTTTTACACATACAAGAAAGATCAGTGCTAGTAATCATAAAACATCATTGATGTGTGATTAGTCATGTGTTTGCTTGTTCAAAAAAGTAGTTGAATTACAAACTAAATAAAATCTACAAATGTTCGGGTTTGTCAGATGTTCTTTGCAAATCATATGAATTCAACAACAGCAATGAAACGACAGAAGTAAACACTTTTTTGCATCGTCTCAAAGAATTAAAGTAGTTGCAAAATGTTCTGTACAAATTAATTATGGTTAGTATGTAGGGCCGCACAAATGTAATAAATGGCACTGGCAACATTAAATTAAATAGAAAAATTAATAAAACTTGTCTTATTTTGACAAAAACCATTTGCATTTTTTGGATGTCTTGATTGATCCAAAGCATTGCAAGAACATTTTTGACTGGTCACAGCACAGTATGAAAAGTGATTTGATTAGAGTGCTCTTTTGCATATTGCAGCATTCTGTAATATCAGTATTGTGAAGGCAGTAACATGATAAAGATCAGGAAGTGATGTATTGTGTAGCCCTAGTTGAGCAGTTTCTATAGTGTGGGTACAGACAGCCTCATCTAGCATGCAAATCATTGCCGATAGTTGTTTGAGCTCTTGAAGGCAGGCAGCCTGGATCGTCAGCCAACTGCATATTCACACCCTGTTTGCAACGCTGTGCTGTGGAATTATGCAAGCAACTTTCCCCTTGCGAACAGCGAGGAGGTAAACTCCCTCAGCTCAGCTCATTTTACAGCTTCATGTATGCCACTGGCAGCAGGCCCCAGTTTTCAACCCCTTTTCTCTTCCAATTAGAGCTCTTCTCCTAGTTTGTTCACGGAATGTGTCCCCAGGTTTATTGTTGTGTTTCGAGGGAGATAATGAGGAATCTCATTTGATTAGATAATAGGCTAATGCTAGAATTATTGTCTAATTCTTAGCAGTATTCTCTGCTAATCTGTGCCTCTTACAACCACATATCTTATAGATTGTGTGAGTTTCTCTCTGTAGTGCACAGAAGAACTAACATTGCAGTTTGTTTATACTGAGAGCAAGTCACTAAATCATGAGCATGCTCCAATCACAGGAATGTTTAATGCAGAAACATTGTAATTTACTTTGTAAGTTGTTCTTGTTTAACCATTTACCATGAATATGTTCATGCTTATTCCTCTTAGCATCCTAATGGGTTTTCCAGTGTTATGTTAGCAATGTTATCAATGTACATTTACATTTTATAGCAGCTCTATAGCTGAAACACACACATTTTAAGCTTATAACAGACATTCAGGTAGCATATTCTCTACTTTGAATGTTGCAATATGGATGCTGACTACTTCATTTAGGATTTAAACTCAAAGCCTGTCTGTGAATATTTTTTGAGCCTGTTAGCTTTGTGGTAGACCTATTCTAGTGAAGACAGAATATGGTGCAGTTAGCCCACAGAACACCTGTTAACATCCACAAAAAGAGTCAGCTGAATCTGTCACTCAGAAGCTTTGTATTGGTGATATATGACATTGCTGTTTTACACTGTCCTGTCCATCATAAAGCGCCATATATGAAAAGGAAACTGCAGCACTGAAAGTATGAAGGCTTGCTGAGTAAAAGTGTTTATTAAAGTGGACAGGACATCAAGCAGCAGAGCATAACTGCTTGAAGAACCACATTTTCTGTAAAAGGGAAATACAAGATGGCCAAGACACATTACACAATTTCTTGGATGGTAGCTACAATGATAAGTAACGTAAATGTGAACGGGCAAGGAAAATACAGTTTTGTTTACCGTGTTTCATTTAATGGCTGTTAAAAAGGGCTAATATTTCACTTCCATAGTGGGTGTTATATATGACATGACCTGACAGCTAAACCCCACAGTCATATGCTAACTCTGTGAATGACGGCTGAATTCATATCTGAGGACTGATTCAGACGGGATTAAAGTCTTTGGGTAATTTGGGTAATCTACAATTGCTACTCTGTGATATTTTTCC